GTGTGTGTGTGTGTGTGTGTGTGTGTGTGTGTGTGTGTGTGTGTGTGTGTGATGAGAAGAGGGAGGTGGGTCTCTCATTAAGTAGCCCAGGCTGAACTCCCTTTCTCCCACTTCAGTAACTTGGATAGCTGGGTGACAATGTCTCACTATGTAGCCCTGGCTCCCTGCAACTTGCTGTGTAGATCAGATTAGCCTCAAAGTCAAAGAGATCTGATTGTGCTGGAATTAAACATGTGCCGTCATGCCTGGCTGTTTTCTGATTTTATTGAGTTACCTATTCTAGGTGTGCATGCTTTTATATTTCATGAAGATTGCAAAAATATCTTGTTACAATATATAATGCACAGGTTAACGGGGCAATGTACACAAGTAGCTCTTTTTAAAAAAGATTTCTTTATTTATTATGTATACAGTGTTCTGTCTGCATATAGGCCAGCACACTAGAAAAGGGCACCAAATCTCAGTACAGATGGTTGTGAGCCACCATGTGGTTGCTAGGAATTAAACTCAGGACCTTTGGAAGAACAGCGAGTGCTCTTAGCCTCTGAGCCATCTCTTCAGACCCTCACAAGCAACTCCTATCCATGAGGTGAGGTGACCCATGCAGGGGTTCAGGAGCTGCTGTGAGGATGTTTTTCATTCCTACTTCAATGACCCTCAGAGATCATCCTAGAGCAGTGGTTCTCAACCTGTGGACCCCCCTTGGGGGTCAAAAGACATTTTCATAGGGGTTTCATGTTAGATATTTCTAATATGATTCATTACAGTAGCAAAATTGCAGTTTTGAAGTAGCATCAAAAATAAATTTTGTGGTTGGGATTCACCACAGCATGGGGAACTGTATCAAAGGGTCTCAGCATTAGGAAGGTTGAGAACCATTAATCCTAGAGGATGTCATAGGCTGGAACAGGACAGGGCCAGCTTCAAAAATATGTTCTTTGTGAAGCCACCGAGGGCTCCAAGCTCAGAAGTGCCTGGAGCTTGCTTTAATGCCCAGAAGTCCCCATTTGCAATTAATCATTTTAGAGAAGAGGCTCCTTTTCTTTTGCACTAAATACTAAAAGTCATGGATTATGAGGCTGATTCCCCAGAGAAAGAAAAAGCAAGCTGGTAAGGCCTAGGGCAAAGTCTTCCTGAGGTACAAAGTTTGAGTGATAACATGGAATGAAAGCCTGGGGCAAGGCTCTTACAGTAGTAGGAGAAAGGGGTGGAGGAGGGGGTTGACAGGAGGCTGCACACCATCCTTGAGTCTCAGAAGCAGGCCAAAGACAGCAAAACAAAACAAACAGGATTGCTGGATTTAATAAAAACCCAAAGATGGCTTGGGGTGTGGATAAGAGCAGGCTTAAGAGGGCAGAGTCGGGGAAAGCAAGGCTGGGGTCAGGTGAAGAAGGGAGGTTCTGAGGAGGCCAGGCCAGGCCGAGCAGTGAGATAAACTACCTATAGGGAGGATTAGGTCACAGAAAGGTCTTCCCTTCTTTCGTTGGTTTAGACTCATTTGATACTATTTTGTTTCATTTAAAAAATAGTTTTATTTGTTTCCTTTCTCTTCTTTCCTTCCTTACTTTCTTTTGATTTTTTTCTTTCAAGACAGGGTTTCTCTGTATATCCCTGGCTGTCCTAGACCTTCCTCTGTAGACCAGGCTGATCTAGAACTCATAAATATCCTCCTGCCTCTGCCTCCTGAGTACTGGGATTAAAGGCGTGTACCTCCACTGCCTGTTTTTGTTTCTTCTTCTTCTTTTTATTATTATTATTATTATTATTATTATTATTATTATTTTAAAGTAACCTTCAGTGACATTGAAGATACACAGATACATCTTTTCTCTTGTGGGGGAATCATTAACTAATAAGGCTTTAGTGATCCCAATCTAGTCCACATCTTATTATTACTAACATTATTCATAGTGATTTTTTGAAATTATAATATAATTACATTATTTTTCTCCTTCCCTTTCCTCCCTACAACCTCTTTCAAGCACCACTCTTTCTCACAAATTCATGGTTTCTTTTTCTTCAGTTGTTGTTACATGTTTACATACACATAAACATATAATCCTAAATACATGAATACAACCTGTTCAGTCTGTGCAAGGTCTGACATGAGTTCTTCCAAACTGAGCTGAACCTTTCACTTTCAAATGTTTTTATTTGGGGCTGGATAACTTTATTTTTGTTTTTTTTTTTATTCTCCCTCATGCTCTTTCCCTCTCTCTTACATATGTGTACAATATATACTAGCCATCTATGCTCCTGTGAAGGTCAGAGGTTGGTGTCAGGTTGATACCCACATTATTATTGTTGTTGCTATTGTTATTATTATTTTGTTTTTTAAATTTTTAAAGATTTACTTATTTTATTTTTATGCATATGATTTTTTTTTTGTCTGCATACATGCCTGGTGCCCTTGGAGCACAGAAGAAGGCATTGGATCCCCTAGAACTGGAGTTTGACAGTTGTTAGCCAATATATGGGTGCTGGGACCTAAACTCAGATCCCCTGGATGAACAACAAAAACTCTTAATTGCAGAACTATCTCTCCAGACCTTTATGATTTTTGAGACATCATCTCTCACTGACTGAAGTCATATATTTGGATAGGCTGCCTGGCCAGCAAACCCCCCCCCCCCCCCCCCACCTGTCTGTTTCAGCTCGATCAATGCTAGGTTTATGTGTACATGCTATTTTGTACACCTTTTGAAAAGTTTTATTTTTTATTTTTTATTCTGGCTAGAGAGGTGGCTCAGTGCTTACGAGGATGTACTGTTCCTGCAGAGGACCCAAGTTCTGTTCCTGGTAGCCATGTCAGGTGGCTGACAACCACCTGTAACTCCAGCTCCAGGAAATCCAGTGTCATCTTTTATGGCCTCTGTCGATACCCTAACTCATGTGCATATACTTACACACAGGCACACATGCATGCGCATGAATTAAAAATAAAAAATACATCTTAAAATTTATTTGTTTGGGGGAGGGGGTTGGTGGACAGTTAGAGAATAAGTCCACATTTCTGTGGGGCTGGGTCCTTTTTTGTTGTTGTTAGGAAGGTCACCCTGTGTGCTGTGGAAGCTCAGCAGTTGTCCCCAGGCTCCCACCTTGAGATTCTCCTCCATACCTCTCGCACGTCTCAAGTGTTTCTAGGCTTGCTCTGTTTGTTCTTCTATAACAACATATCACAAAATGGGCCTTGAACTCACTCTGCAGCCCAGGCTACCCTTGAACTCTCGGTCCTCCTGTCTTACTCAGCCTCCCCAGTGGTCTGTGCATAGATATGTGCCACCACAGATGCTACAACACTTAATTTTTCAGTGTCCTGGGTCTTGGAATCTGATCTTGGAATCATGAAATCCAAGATCAGAACAGAGCTGGGCCTGGGTCCTCAAAAAGCCTGAGAGGCAATGGTGTCTTTTATAAGGACACGAATTCCAAGCACTTTGAAACTAGGCAATGGTGGCACATGGCCTTTAATCCCAGCACTTGGAAACAGAGGCAGGTGAATATCTGTGAGTTTGAAGCCACCCTGGTCTACAGAGTGAGCTCCAGGACAGCCAGTGCTACACAGAGAAACTCTATCTCAGAAAAAAAAAAACAACAACAAAAAACAAAAAACAAACTATAAAAAACCCAAAATAATAATAATAATGATTTTAAGTATTTTTTTTAACCTACCCTCTTCATAACCTTGGGGGTGACAATTTCAGTGTGTGTGGGATAGAGACATTCAGATCACAACACGGTCACTGATTCCAAATATGCATGAGTAGGAAAATCTTTGGGATATTTGACATTCATATAGAATGTGTTCAAAAGAACCCCCAGTGCTCTTTAAATACTCAGAGATCTTATGAGATGATTTTGGAAAATCAGGTGTGGTGGCACAAGCCTAGAATCCCAGCACACAGGAGGCAAGAGGATCAGGAGTTCAGGGTCATCCTCAGGTCATAAGCCAGTCTGGGGCGTATTTTAAGAGTGAGGAGGTAGGGGAAGGGAAAGAGGAAGAAAGATGAGACTATGGCTTGCTATGCTTCTTTCCTACATTTAGTTCATTTTTGAGTCATTCCTCATACATAAAATCACATTTAAAAGAAAAAGAACATGAACTTTACTGTTACAAAACTAAAGAATAAAAAAACAAACAAACGGCCAGGTGGTGAGGATACATGCCTTTAATCCCAGCAATTGACAGGCAGAGGCAGGTGGATCTCTGAGTTTAAGGCCAGCCTGGTCTACAAAGTGAGCTCCAGGACAGCCAGGTCTATACAGTAAAAAAAACCAAAAACAAAAACAAAAACCAACCAAACAAACAAACCCACAATAGCATGAGAGTTATGTAAGGCTGAAACCTTCCAAAAATATCTTAAATCTCTTCCTTATAATTACAGGGATGCTGAAAGAGGACTGGTCACTGCAAAAATAATTTCAGTTGTGTGTGTGTTTCTGTGTGGCGTTGCTGACATTTGTCATGTGATATTAGAATACATTATTCAGTTTACTCATTCATCTATTGGTGTGTGCACATGCCATAGCACATGTGTGGAGACTCATGGCCAATTGTAGGGAGGTGGCTCTTCTTCCACCATGGGGTCCTGGGGATCCAACTCAGGTCAGACTTGCCAGCAAGCACCTGTACACTGTGCCATCTTGATAGCCCTGAATTCATTCTTCATCAATGTAGTTATAAAGCAACTAAATTAATGAATATTATTACATCATCCATAATGTTATCAATGTATTATAATTATTATTAGTGTGTTCATGTGTGAAGCACATGCATGCCACAGTTCATATACAGACATAAAGGAGAGTTGAGGCCTCTCTTTCTACTATAGGATTTGTAGACTGAACTCAGGCTTTGCCTCATGTGCCACATTCTTCTCAACCCTCATCAACTTTTTACCACATATTCAAGCTTCTCCGTCACTTTGCAGGGAAACACTTTCACAAATCGCAGGATGCGGAGACACTTTCCAGGGACTCTTCAAGTCCTGAAACTCAGATTTCTATGCCAAGAAATAAACAAACTTCCCATGGCAAAAGCGTGTGAATTGCCCTAGTTCCTATTCAGATTAATAAAGATGTGTTTGAGCTTAGTTATAATGATTTTAAAAAAGATTCAGGTCTGAAACTGCTATTCATTTGGCTTGAACCTATTGAAAAAAAACAAAAACAACAACAACAACAACAAAAAAAACGAAAAACAAAACAAAACCAGACAATCCTAGGGTCTCAAAATCAGGCCAAGGACAAAACCCAAAACTAAACAAAAGGTTCAGAGGAAATAGTAACAGTCCAGAGAACTGCTGTGGTTGTGGGTAGGATCTGGGCTCTTAGTGCTGAGTGGGTGGAAGCAGGATTGGTGTGGGGAGAGTGAAAGGCTTGCAGAAAAGAGAGTAAAGACACTGGATGCCCTGCAGGAGGGGAAGGGTAGGGCAGGGAGATAGGATGGATAGGGTCAAAACAAGTTCCTTCTTTCTTCTTCTATAATCTGGATACATTAGCTACTATTCTGTTTCTTTTACTTCCTTCTGTTATATTTCAAACCTGGGACTAATGGCTGAGGTGCCTATTTAACAAATGAAAGCGGACACTGTCCTCCAGGTTCTCCCTGCATTCCTCAGTCCCTACTTGTTACAGGGTTCTCATGGCTTCTATCCCCTGGCTCCTACTCCAGCCCCGATGGACTGCTCTTCCCTGGATAATCCCACCGCTCCGGTTACCCACCCTCTTTGTACCATGGGGCCTCCTAGTTGCTGCACCTGATCTCTTTCTCTCCCTCTTAATTCACCCCTCCTCCACATGGCTCACGGTCATGTCTACTCTGGGCTTTCCCAGATGACCCTGCCTTTGGCTATGCTCTCCCACATGTCGATAATAAACTTTCTCCACCATACCTGGGATCAGTTATGTTCCTTTCTATTTATTTCTTTGTTTTTCCATTCACCTTCCTTTCTTTTTTTTTTACATGTTCAAAATACATTGTATAGTGTATGAAAATTTCAAAGAATAAAATAAAAATATATTTTTCTAGTTATATTACCTTAAAAATGAGCTTCTTTGAAAATGTTATTTTTAACATTTTTTATTCATTTACTGCATGTGGAGGGGTATGGTATGCTATGTGTGTAGGTCAGAGGAAGACTTGTGGAAGGAAGTTGGTTCTGTCCTCCTGGGGATTGAACTCAGGTTTTCAGGCTTGGCATCATGTACCTGTACCCACTGAGTCATCTTGGCAGCCCTGTTCCCCTTTCAAAGAGTAACTTTCAATGATACACAAGATACATGGATACATCTTTCCAACTTTACAATAGGAAGAAACTGAGTCACAAGGTGGTTTTGGTTTGATTTGGGTAAAATTTTGCATCTGGTATAATTAATTTGTGTGAGCAAGATTTCTACTTACGAAGGCTGATGGTCTGTACAGAAAGAGAGGTCACCTAGGAGCAATTAAGAAATAAATCAGAAGCTGGGCAAGATGGTGCATGCCTTTAATACCAGCACTCAGGAAGGCAGAGGCAGGCAGATCTGAGTTCCAGGCCAGCCTGGTCTACAAACTGATTCCAAGACAGCCAACAGGGGTAAAACAAACAAACACATAAAACATCAGTCTGATAGAATTTTCTAGAATTTTTTCATCTGATAGAATGATGACATTGACTTTTAACACCGTCTAAGATGATGGTCACCTGTGGCTAGTTGGACTGAGAATATGGAATTTTAGATTGATTTAATTATTTTAATTTATTCAAATTGAGAAGCACACTGCTGGCTTGGGGCCCATCCCACAGTGATTGGCTCAGGTGCAGAGAGTTTACAGAGGGTTTGGCCAAGGATGGGGAGCACCCTCTGGGTAAAGAGGCAAGATAAAGGTAAGGAGGAAGCTCTGTGACACCTGCTGTTTAGGATGGTCTCTGTGAAAGGAAAGAACTCTGCCTCAGAGGGAGGCAGGAAACAGAAGCTGGCCCATCCTAGCCCAGGAGGATAGTAGGACAGCACTGAGATTTTGCTGAATGCAAGGCCCCGTTCTAGTTAGATATGGTGGCACATGCCTATAATCCTGGTATTCTGAGCAGGAAGCAGGAAGATGGCAGGTTTGAGGCCAGCCTGGGTTATACAGCAAGACTGTGACTCAAAAACCAAGCAAGTCAACAGGAAATAAATAAGGAAATTGCTCTTTAAGTGTGTTCTGCACATGCTATATTATCTTTCCATCCTATCAGCCAGACTGAGTCATCTAGGCAGGGCCTATACCAAAGTCCATAAAGCTAGAGGCCATAAGTCTGCAGTGACTAGTGCCTGGGCTTAAGGAATGCAGCTCACTGTTAGGTGTGGGCCTCCCACAGCCAGAGTAGCTCAAGACTGGGATGCCCAGCAACAAAAAGACTTTATGAGAACACAGGACAAAGAGAGGGGTAAGGAAGGAAGGAAAAAGACAATGGAGTGGGGCGGAGGAGGAGAGAGTCAAAGTTCTGTGGTGAGTCATCTGTCTGCAGCACTCTATTCTTAGCGGAGGTGCTTTCCTCCTCCAGCTGAGGTTTCTGTCACTACTCCTGTCCCAAAATGTGAACAATGTGAAGCTCCTCCCTCTCTACTTTTCATTCCAGGAAAAGCTCCTGAAAGCCCACTGAGGGCCTGGGAAGAGCATTGGATGCTTTGGGACTAAGCGGGAAATCTGAAGTAGGGAAGGAGCAAGAGATGATGGCTACAATCCCTGAATGTTTTGTGAGGTTTTTTCCATTCCCTCAGGGGCTTCTTGCCAGACTCTGAGTTCAAGCAGAGAGGATTATGGCAAGAGTCCTGCATGCTTGGGTGTAGGGTGTCTGGGTTGTGACTCCTGGCTCCACCCCACACAAGTATCCCTGTTTCTCAGTAAAGCAGAAAACAAATGCTTTAAAAAATTGTGGTTAAAAGCACTAGTCACAGTTTAAGCAACTTCTGCTAACCCTCACTCCCCCCTCTCCCCCCACCCTTGGCAATCACCTCTACTTTCTGCAATGGTGATTTATTTTTTGTTTTGACTTATTGAGATAGCCTCTCCCTACACTGGCTGGCATTGAGCTTACTCTTTAGTTCAAGATAGCCTTGAACTCGTGGCAACACCTGGGGATCACAACCTGACTGTCTCTACTGTTTTAACTCATTTAAATACTTTTTTATGAGTAGAATAATGTGGTATTTTCTTTTTCAGGGGAGAAGCATGGAGATGGCTTGTTTCTTTCAGCATAAATGTCCTTGAGGTTTGTCCATTACAATGCGTAGCAGGATCCTCTTCTTTTTTATTTTGTTTTTTTGAGACAGGGTTTCTCTGTGTATAGCCTTGGCTGTCCTGGAATTTGCTCTGTAGACCAGGCTGGCCTTGAACTCACAAAGAGCCACCTGCCTCTGTGTCTGCAGCGCTGGGATTAAGCCAGCACTGCACAGCTCAGGATTTTCTTAAGGACTAACTAGTATTCCATTATACATATATAATCACATTTTTCTTTACGATCCATCATTGATGGGTCATTGCTATCTTTTAGCATTTGTGAACAATACTGCAATTAGCATTGGTATATACATATCTTATCCTGTTTTGCTTTACATTCTCTTGTGAAATGACTGGATCATATGGCAATTCAATTTTTTTTAAAGACAAAGTCTTTCTACATAGCCTGGTTGTTCTGGAATTCACTATGTAGACTAGGCTGGCCTTGAACTCACAAGAGATCTGCTTGCCTCTGCCTCCCTAGTGTTGGATTAATGGCGTGCATTGCTAGATCCAGTTTGGCAATTCAATACTTAATTTTTGAAGATCTTTAGTAATTTTCCACACATCATTTTCAATTCCTACCAGAAGTGCACTAAAGTTCCAAATTATTTTTCTCTGTCTTCCTCCAGCTTTCCCTTCTGTTCTTCCTTCCTTCCCTCCTTCCGTCCTTTCTCTCTCTCTCTCTTTCTCTCCCTTCCTTTTATTTTTGAAGCAGGGTCTCCATATGTACCCCTGGCTGTCTGGAACTCACCACATAGAGCAGGCTGTCCTCGAACTAACAGATGTGTCTGTCTCTGTCTCCCTTGTGCTGAGATTACAGTCCTGTGCCACCACACCTAGTGCACGGTTCTGATTTCTCCACCTCCTTACCAACCCTTGTTAATTTTTGTTCTTTCTGTAGCAAGTGTAGTGTGTCTTCTGATTGTGGTTTTGAGTTGAAAAATGAATGTTTGAAATAATTTTAGGGGTATCCAGCATTTCTATAGAACCAGAGACTCAAAACTGAAGAAGGCTTTGTGAAGATTCACACCCAGTTGGCAACATAGAACTAACTGGTATCCGGGATAACAATGCTGCCCTCAAGTGGGCTTAAAAAGTGATATTCTCTCTGTCTCTCCACTGGGCGGTGTCTCAGACCACATCATCTTAGAGCTGGTGTACACTGCCTCAGTGGCTTTGAAAGCCTTATGTATTATCTTCTCGCGTTATTATAGGAGAGTCCTCATCCAGTCTAACGTGCCACATCACAACTCCCAAATTGACGTCTTACACGGATGTGTCTGACCTATGGTGTCTAGGTTGCCTGCCTACACCTTTCCTGAAGGGGCCTTGGACTTCTGCTTTTACTTTAAGAGGTATAGACTCAGTTGCTCACTTCTGAGATACAAACATGTTCAGAAGTCTTGGAGGCCTAGAGTATTGAGAAGAGACAGTTGTGCTTGTTGGCTTTGTGTCAACTGGATGCAAGCTAAAGTCACCTGGGAAAAGACTCTTAATTGAGGAATTGTCTCCATAAGACTGGCCTGTAGGTAAGTCTGTGACATGTTTTCTTCATTAGTGATTGATGTGGGAGGGGCCAACCCACTGTGAGTGGTGCCACCCTGCTAAGTGGTCCTGGGAGGTAACAGAAATTGGGCTGAACAAGGCAGAAGGAGGAAGCCAGTTATCAGCACTCTCCATCCTGGTCTCTGCATTAGTTCCTGCCTCCAGGCTCTGCTTGAATCACTGCCTTGGCTTCCCAGGATGATGGACTACAATCCTTATGGTGAAATAAACTCTTTCCTCTGCAACTTGCTTTTGGCTATTGTCTTAGTTACTGTTTGGTTGCTGTGAAGAGACAGCATGACTAAGGTAACTCTTGTAAAAGAAAGCATCTAGTTAGGGGCTGGCTTACAGTTTCAGAAGTTAGTTCATGGTCCTCATGGCAGGGAGTGTGGTGGCATGCAGGAGTGATGCTGGAGAAAGACCTAAGGGTTCACATTTTATGTCCATTTTGAAGATAGGAAGAGAGAGAGACAGACAGAGACAGAGAGAGAGAGGAGGCTGGGCTGAAACCTCAAAGGCCACCCTCAGAAACACACCTCCTCTAACAAGGCCTCACCTCCACCTCAGTCAGGGTTCTATCACATCAATAAAAAGAAAACCATGGGATCAGTGTTTCCAGTGTTAGGACTCACCCTTTTATACCTGTTATTCCTCTATTGGACTCTACCCTGTCTATTCCAAATATCCTTTGTCCCCTGAAGAATTTCTTACTTACCATACCCAAAATGGAAGGTAATATCCATTCTCCCAAGCCTTTTCTGTCTCTTGGATCTCACACCCTGCAAATGGGTTTAGTGTAAGTACATCAATAATTGACTTATTTTCCTTACTCTTTTCTTCCTTTTTCATTTAAACTTTTAAATTACATTTATTTGCTTTTATTTGTGTCTACACCCCCAACCCACACATACATACATACACACACACACACACACACACACACACACACACACACACACACACATTTTGAGCACATGCCCATGCCACAGTGTACATACAGAGGTCAAAGGACAACCAGAAGGGATTACTTATTTCCTTTCACCGTGAGGGTCCTGGTGATCAAATTCAGGTTTTAGGACTGATTACTAGTACATTTACTCATCTCATATTCTCACTAGCCTATTTTCCTTCATTCCTTTATTTGCTCCTTCAGTTCTTCCCTCCTTTCTTGTGTCTTTGTCTCTGACTTTGTCTGTTTCTCTGCCTCTTTCTCTTTTATCTTCACTTTTTGAGACAGGGTCTCATGTACACCAGGTTGACCTTAAACTTGCTACGAGCGGAAGGTGGCTTGAACTCCTAATCCACCTCCCCAGTTCTGGGACTGCAGACATGCACCACCGCATCTAGCTGGTTTGGCTGGATCTGTCAGGTGCTCCCAGTCTGTCACCACTTGATAGCAAATGTTACATAAAGACTCTGACAGAGAGAAGGCTGTCAGCAGATGTGGACTCAATATAATATCAGAAAATGAGTCCCAAATAAATATTTTTATGCTCACCAGGTCAGTGGTATTGTATAATTAACAAAAGAAAATAGTTTGAGGAAGAAGGACACAACTGAACTTCTGAATTCTCCCTCTAGTCAGAATCCAGGGAGTATAGAGAGAAATTTGAACTGTTGTTAAATATGGTCATATCTTTACTTGTTTTAAGATTATGCTCATGCACTGTCTCTCTCTTTCTTCCCCCTCTCCCTCCCTCTTTTCAAGGTCTTAGGTAACCTGTACTGGCTTAGAATTCATTATGTAGTAGCTGAAGGTGACCTTGAACTTCCGATTCTCTCACTTCTACTTTTTGAATTTTGGGATTACCAGGCTCAGTCTTTGTGATGCTTAAGCTAGAACCCCTGAATTCATCCATAGTATGCAAGCATTTTTGACAACTCAGCTATATCCTGAACCCAATGGCATACTTCTTATGAAGGTCAGTCAGGAAGACTACATGTATGAGAAGAACCTGGTTTAGCCTGGGTGCATAGTCCAACTGAGATGGCAGAACTTGGAAGAAGCAGCTTGAGCCTGTAGATTCTGACCATGGTGCTGAACCGAGAACAAAATGTGAACATATCAATCAGCACTGTGGACAGCAACCAGGAAAGGCACCCTGTTGAGGCTGCATCCTGTTGAGAAAAGCACAATGGGAGGCATCTAGACTCTGGACATACCCACGGAAAGACGTAGGATCTAGCAGGAGGCAAAGAAGCTTAAGGCATGGGTGAGTATAAATAGAACTTGAAATATTGCTCTGTGCACAAGACAGTCTCCTCCTATCCCAACTCCAGGCCAAGGGAGAGGAGACTAACAGGGAAGCTGTGGACTTGGAGTAGTCTAGACTATACATCTTCTTTCATTGTCTGAGTGTACACTACAGGTACAATCAGAATGTTTATAACACATCAGGCTTTTGTCAGCTTGTAATGTAGCTGTTTCCTACAGGTTGAGCATGATTGCTGGGGTCTTGAAGCAGAGTGGCTGTGATTTCATGAGGCTCATGAGGTCCTATTTGTCCCAAGGATCATATAAGAAGTGCACAGTTTCTGGGAGTGGGATATGTAAAGCTTTAGGAAAACTTTTTTGTGTAGTTACCTTGGAATTACTGTGTTTTTGAAAATAGTTTTAGACATGCTTCTGTAAGAGACCCCAAGCAACTTGATGGTTTACCAAGCTGAACTGGCATAGAATATTTTCTTTGATCTGCCAGTTGCTTAACTGCGGTGAATAGACATTTCTTATATCTCTTATATCTTGCATAAGTCAAAATTAACCCCTTTCTCATGGGAACTTACAATTCATTTACTGCATTTGTCATTTTGTGTAGTCAATACCTCTATCTATCAGGTTTTAAGAAATTTTTATTCTATTAAGAAGATACACTTATTGTAGTAGTCAGAGTTCTTGATATGCAGAGCAGAAGCTGTCTGCTACTAGAGTTTCTTCTAGCTTAGAGAACAGCATTTTCTTGTTTCATCCAGACCTGCACCTGATTGGATGAAGCTTACTTACGTTCTTAGTTAAGGTTAATATTGCTGTGATGAAACACCATGACCACAAAGAACTTGATGGGAGGTTATTTTGCTTACCCTTGAACATCATACTCCATCACTGAAAGAACTCAGGACAGGAACTCAAACAGGGCAGGGATGTGGAGGCCAGAAGTGATGCAGAGGCCACGAAAGGGTGCTGCTTACTGGGTTACTCCATATGGCATATTCAGCCTGCTTTTTTTAGAAGTCAGGATCACTGGCTAAGGTTGGCACCAAGCTCAGTGGGATGAGACCTCCTACATTACTCATCAATTAAGAAAATCTCTATAGGTTGCCAACAACCTATTGGAAACATTTTCTCAACTGAAGCTTCCTCCTCTCTATTGATCCCAGCTTGTGTCAAGTTGACATAAAAAGAGTTGGTACACTCACATTATGGGGTGTGTGTGATTTGCTTCAGTGGAAGATTGAAAAGTTTTAATTTAATTCTACCTAAAAATATCACCACAGAAATCTCCAGAATAATATTTTACTGTGTGTCTAGAAACTGTCCCACCAGATGACACCATTTTCAGCACATTACATATTTTTTCATGCCACACTTGTCCCACATATAAGTAATAATAAGGTCATTATTCTTTCTGATACGATATGGCCATTCTAGATTTAACTGGTATCATAGGATTTTTATCATTGTGGCCACAACCAAAAGCAATCTGGGGATATGAGAGTTTGTTTCAGCTTTCAGGTTATAGTTCAGGAAAGTCAATGCAGGAGCTTACAGCATAAACCTGGAGACAGGCATGGATGCACAGGCCTGGAAAGGCCATTGGTGAAGGTGCATCCCCAGTTGGAAAAGAAGCCCCAGGACTGAGGGAATCATAGGAGAGAAGTTAAGGCTTGGCACCAAGACATTTCAGGAGAGGATATTGGTCAAAGTTCAGCCCAGTTGCTTTGGATACCCTAGCATTTGGGGGATGCCCATACCATGGGGTGAACACCAAGGATGGCAGTTGTGGAGTGGAGCTGGCATGGCAAGAGAAGGTGCATTTGCTGTGAAAGGTAGAGTCAGAGAAGTGGAGCCCATTGGAGCCCAGAAAGTTGTGTGTTATCAATGTCTGACACCAAGCTTTACACTGTTGGACTTTGATTTTGCTTCACTGGTTTTTCTTTCCTGGAATAAGAAAGTATGCAACTGATTTTGGTTTTATGGGAGACCACATTTGAAGACATTAGATATTTTAGAAAGACTTTGAACTTTAAAGAGAATGGATATTTTAGAGACTGAGCTCTTAAAGTCATAGACTTGTTTGGTTGGTTGGTTCTTTGTGTCACAGAACCCTAGCTGTTCTAGACTCCTGTTGTGGACCAGACTGGCCTTGAACTCACAGAAAGATCCACCTGCCTATGGCTTCCAAGTGGTGGGAATAAAGGTCTGTGCCACCAACACCTGGCAAGAAATTTTAAAGGCTGAAGGACTTTTAAAAGTTGCAATGTTTTATATTATAATATTAATATGCTATTTTAGGGATGAACAGGAAATGAAAAGTTGGATTTAACAGTAATGTGTTTGTGTGTCAGGTTGACAAGGGGTCATTTTTCTGGTTATCTTTATATTTGCTTGACACAGTTAGAGTCGCTCGGGAAGAGGAAACCTTAATTGAAAAAAATGCTTTTATAACACTGGCCTCCACACAAGGCAAGTCTGTTGATCATTTTCTTAATTAGCAATTGATGTGGGAGAGTCCAGGCCATTGTGGGTGGTGTCATTTCTGGGCAGATTGTCCTGGATATATAAAAAAATCAGACTGAGCAAGCCATAGGGAGCAAGTCAGTGAGAAGCACTCCTCCATGGCCTTTGCTTAATTTCCTGCCTCCAAGTTCCTTGGGTTCCTGTCCTGACTTCCTGCAGTGATGGACTGTGACCTGGAAGTGTAAGATAAATACATCCTTTCCTTCCCAAGTTGCTTCTAGTCATGGTCTTTAGCACAGCAATGGAAAAGGAGCTAAGACAATGGATATCAACTCACTAGAAGAAAATCCAAAGTTTTTGGAGTGATTTGGAGTGATGCTTACATTTCTCCTTGGTATATTGTTCATTTAAATTATTTTTGAGAATTTTGTACATAATTAGAATGTATTGTCATCATATCTCCTCCTTCAACTCTTTCCATGTCTTCCTCCACATCTCCAACTCAAATTCATTATCATGTTTCAAATTTATTTCTTCTATAATCACACACACACACACACACACACCACTAGATCCAATAAATGGTGCCCAAATGCCATCCATGTTCTTAATATTTTGTAATTTACTCCCATAAAATAAAGTAGACAATTTAAAAAACTGTTCTCTAAACTTAACAATTTGTTCCACATGGCTTGTGATTACTACTGATTGTCAACTTGACAATATCTAGAGTTACCACAGACTCAAGCCTCTGTGCATATCTATGAGGATTATCTAGATTAGGTTCATTGAGATGGGAAGACCCATCTTAAATATAGGAACAACATCTCATGGGCTAGAATATCTTACTGTATAACCAGGAGAAAGGGAGCCAAGCACCAGCATTCATCTCTGGTTCCTGATGCCATGTGGATACCATGTGACCAGCTGCTCAATACTCTACCACCATAATTTTCCCACCAAGATGGACTGTACCCCAGAATGCTGGGCCAGAACAAACTTTTCCTTCCCTAGGTTTCTTTTCAAAAGATTTATTTACTTTATTTTATGAATACATTTTCTGCATTTATGTATGTACATCACATGTGTGGCTGGTGTCCTTGGATGTCAGAAGAGAACATTAGATCCTCTACAACTGGAGTTAAAAACAATTGTGACCCAACATATGGGATGCTGGAAACTGAACCTGGTTTCTTTTGCAAAAGCAGCAACTACTCTTAATCTGCAAGCATTTCTCAGTTCTTTTACATTGCTTTTGACAGGATATTTTATTGCAGCAATGAGACAGGCAATTAATACAGTATAAGATAATAATAGAAGAAAATAAAAAGATAAAATGTGTTAATTATTTTATTTGTGGAAATGTATTACATGTACATTATTATTTATGTATATTATAACTACAGACACAAATACCAATATAATTTATGTTGGTTAGAGAAGAGAAATCACTTGCAGGACACTCACAATAAACATGCTAGTGTCTGGCACAAGAGAATCCCCTACACTACCAGAGTTCAGTTTCCAACAAGCTTCAACAGCACATGCCAATTTACCAATATACTGTACATTACATTCATTCTTGCAGGAATTAGGTTGTGATATACCCTATTGCTACACCCACTCCAGTATCGTCAGTGTAGCATATCAATAGATTGTGCTACTAGACGGGAGATACGTTTTCTTCGGGAATATGCTCCGTGAAGGTCCCTGGCAAAAGTGTTTCCCCTGGCCACCTAAGCCAAAAAGACATATTCTGAGATTTCTACACTTTCTCGATTGCAGGGTTGGATTAATGAGACTTTTGATCTTTCTCTATGATTCTTGGAACAGCACAATTAACTATTCAAGGAAACATATCTTTGATAGATTATTAAAAGCTTTAACAAGAATAGAATGGAAGAAAAATAATCTTAAGAGAAGTAATAAATCAGATTCAGTATCAGAAAGCATTACAAGAATAGAAAAAGAAATAGTGGACTCCTCTTTAGGGAAAGAGAGCATGGGAAAGTACAGCTGGCTCGAGCGTGTTCCCCTTGGCATCTTATCTCTAAGGAGGATCGTAAATTTTTAGCAAGACATATGGGAGGATGGTTAACAAAGGTGTATTTAGATTTTGACGCAGAGAAAGATTTTGGCAGGTATCTGACTTAGCTCCTGACTTTCGTCTTCATTGGTTAGCAATAATGAAGCTACAGTTTGAGTTTTTTTTTCCTTTGTCTGCTTTGATCAAAAGTTCTCAGGCCAAGATTTCTTGTGGTCACTGCCCTATGTTAAAATATAAACTTTGTATTCTTGGTAAAAGTCTAAATGTTCTGGGAAGTATGCCAACTTTAAGGTATTGCCTCACGTAATCATTATAAAATTATTAGCTTGACTTCAGTAAAATTACAGCAGATTAAAAGCACTCCTCGGTGTGGCCTCTGTCTGTCAATCTGCCTAACCTGTGTCTCCCTGAGTATCCAAAAACCCTGATTCTCCCACGGTTGTGGGACCCTATAATAAGCTGGGTCGGTTCATGGCACCCTATAATAATTCAGTAAATATAAGATGACTGAAATGTTCTCAATAACAGAGTATGATATACAGTGTCATTTACTCTGCATTTCATTCATAAGACTCGTTTACAGAAGGGGGAAGTTGGGGGAAGAAGAAACAGAACAGCATGGGAATAGGGGATTGGGAAAGAACATTGGGGGACCAAGTAAGGACAGAATATGGGGGATGGATCAGAGCTTCAGAACATGCATTGCTCTTGCATAGGATTGGAGTTCAGTTCCCAGCATCCACATCATAACTACTTGTTTTTTGTTTGTTTCTCTAAATTTTATTGATTAATTAATTAATTAACTTTACAAAGTCCCCTCCCTCCTCTCATCCTGGTCTCACCTTCCTTACCTCTTTCCTGTATCCCCCCTCCCTCTCAGAAAAGGGAGCCCCCACAACCTACCCATCCCAGCACCAAGTCATATCAGGACTGAGTGCATCCTCTAACTTGGTGGCCTGGCAAGGCAGCCCTGCCAGGAGCAAGTGATTGAAAAGCATGCAAGAGAGTCCATGTCAGAGACATCCCCCACTTCCCTTGCTAGGGGACCCACGAAGACCAAGCTGTCCACTGTGTAGGGGACCTAGGTCCAGACCATATATGGTCCTTGGTTGGTGGTATCTGCAAGCCCCTGTGGGCTCAGAGTAATTGACTCTTTTGGTCTTCTTGTGGAGTTCCTGTTCCTTCTGTGTCCTTCTATCCTTCCTCACATTCTTCCAGAAGTCTCCCTGAGCTCAGCCCAATGTGTGGCCGTGATTGTGAGTATTACTGTTTTCATCCACTGCTGGGTGGAACCTTGAAAAGAACAGCTATGCTAGGCTCCTGACTGCAAGCATAGCAGAGTGTCATTAATGGTGTTAGGGGTTGGCTCTCTTCCATGTCATAACCACTAGTAACTCCAGATCTTATGCCCTTTTTTGGCCTCTAAGGTACACCACTCATGTGCTCACCTTCCCCTTACATGCACGTTATATAGAATAATAAAAATAAATCTTTACAAACTAGTTTTAGAAACTAAATTTGAAAAGACACACATGTTTCACAATTGCAGGAATCACAAACTGAGGCATGGACAAAGGCAGTGACTGCTTTGTGGACATCATGTTCTCATCATGGGGATGGTGACAATGTCTAGGAACTAGATTCTGGTGGTGGCTGTGTATCACTGAGAATTTACTCAATGCTATTGAATTCATACTTTGAAGTGTTTAATGTCTACATTCACATTTTATGAATTTTCAGTAAGAAAAATGAAATAAAAACCCACAACATAGAGTCCGTATAGCAGAAAGAGGTTTGCATTAGTTGCTTTTCTGTTGCTGTGATAAGATATGATCAGAAGCCACTTATGGAGGAAGCTTGTTGTCACTTATGGTTCCAGAGAATTAGACCTTCCAAACTTGAGAGGACACGTGGCAGCAGCCTGGAGGAGAAGGATACTGGCTGATCATATCTCATCAGTCCACCAGGAAGCAGAGTCAACTGAACATGGGTCAAGAAGATAAATTATCAAAGCCTACCTCCAATGACCTACTTCCTTCAGCAAGCCTCCATGTTCTGAAATTTCCGTAATCTCCCCATCCAATGCCACCAACTGGGGACCAAGTGTTCAAATACATAAATAGATGAAACCACCATAGAGTCACACCATGCTTCAGAGGTCACAACAATCAAACATTACATCTTTGATGGAACTATAAAAAAGAACTTTATTAATGTGTGCCTATCTGTGGAAATGCGCTGTGTGTGTGTGTGTGTGTGTGTGTGTGTCTGTCTGTCTGTCTGTCCACAGAGGCTGGAATATGCTGCCATATCTCTTTTGGTGTTGGAGTAACATCCAGTTGTGGGCCACTCAGTATAGGTGCTGGGAATCAAATGCTGGTCCTCTGGAAGAGCAGGCAGTGTTCTTAACTCCTGAGCCTTCTCTCTAGCCTCCTTGATAAAATTTCTAGAATAAAATTTGATTAATAATTTGCTGAGTGTAGTTTGTGTTGTGTAACAGTGCTTTTGCACCTCTGCTTTTGCCTCAGCCTTTCTACCCAGCATGCAGTATGGCATCTTCTGTCCCTGTGTAGAAGGAGGGCAGGTGGAGGGCACTGACGAGTCACTCCTATCGCCAACACTCCTGTATCTCATGTCTTATTCTGAAAACAAGAATGCCTCTGTACTTCATGATCTTTCCGACCTGAGAGGAGACGTCAGACTCTTTTCACCTTGAAGAGTATGGGAAGGAGGCCATTGATAAATATTTTTCCCATGTTTCAAGTGGAAACCAGAAAATTTCTTCTAGTGAGCATTAGTGTCTGGGCATGCAGACATTATCAAGTGAGGATTTGTTGTCAGGAGAGAAGAGAAAATGAGGAAGGAACAAAAGGGTGGGGATGAGAAAGAAGGAATGGTATGACCAGTCCATGGAGAAGTGTGAAGAGGAGCTGTAACATCTTGGCTTATAGAAATGAAGAAGTCAGAAGGAGGAAGTTTGGGGCAACAAAACCACAGCCTCATTCTGGGAAGTTAATATCCTTTTTCAAATCAGATAGTTTCAATATTGTCACATTGAATACCGCCCCCCTTTGTTTTTCATTATTCTGCCCATCTATTTGTTCTACTGAGGACAACTGCTTGAACCTGGATTTGGAGGGCTTTGGGAGTCCAGACTGTAAGCCCAAAAACCAAGGGCAATTTGATAAGAAAAGAAGGTAAAAGAGAAAGGACTAGTTGATGAAACCTTCACACAAGGCCCTAATACTAGATTTGTTTCCTTTCCTTTCCCTCTGCATCCCTCTGGCTTCATACCCAGAATGAAGCAGAGTGGATTCCTTTAAAAAAAACCTGCATTTTATTCAAAATAACTCCAGGATTTGGAGGGTGCTGGCCATGGTAAAGACCTCAGGATGCTATGTAGATACACGACAGGATGAAGGAGACCTCATTATGACCCTCTGAGATGGAAGGACCAGGTCTCAGCCATGCTCACTTAAGAGGTTTATACCCTGATTACTATTGAAATAAGGACCATGAAGTCAGATGTACATGAACTTGGAAGAGAATGACTTTGTATCTAAGGTGTCAACATCTTGTTGCCATCACTGCCTGTGCCCAAGCCCTAGGAAGACAAAGACCAAGTTGCTGGGGTGGTCAGTTCCTCTTTGTGTGAGGCGGTAACTTTGTCTCCAGGAACTCAGGCTAACAAAGGCCACACCCTGCCTGTCTGTTCATCAAACTGCATGCAGAACAGTAACTGGTGAGAGAAGACAGCATGACTCTCACTCTAACAGTCCTGTTCGGCCTCGGTGAGATGTAAAAAAAAGGGGAAAAAGTCATCTAAGTCTGGGAAAGACCCCATCCTATGGACAAGACATGGCCCATGAGGAGACTCCAAGGCCTCAGGAAGCTCTGGGTAGGAGAGGGCCTCCTCAGCTTTCAGGAAAAACTTCTCACAGGACAATCTCTTTCAGGGCTGAGTCTGGGCTACGAGAAAGCAGTACTGGCAGGTGAGTGTATTTCCAGCTGTTTCAGGCTCCTCCACCTTACTTGGGACAATGGGTCACACCCAGGAGGTGGATATGGGAAACAGCAGATGTGGGCTGATGTTGAGGATGGCTGGAGGATCCTGGGATGGATAACAAGAATGTGGTAGATGAGTGTCCTTGGAACAAGCCTCTGGTTTCTTCTCAGGGACCATCGCTGCGCCCACCATCTGGGCTGAGCCAGATTCTGTGGTCACCTGGAGGACAACTGTGAGCATCTGGTGTCAGGGAATCTTTGAGGCTCTGGAGTATCATCTGGATAAAGAAGGAAGCCCGTCACCCTTGTATAGACAGACTTCACCAAAGAACAAAAACAAGGTCAATTTTACCATCTCCTTCTTAGCAGATCGTCATGCAGGGAGGTATCATTGCTACTATGTGAGCCCTGCTGGCTGGTCCAAGCGTAGCGACCCACTGGAGCTAGTGGTGACAGGTAAGGGGACGCTCAGGGATCTCAGTCCTCAACTCTCTTCTGTCTCTCTCTCTCTCCCTTCTTCCCTCCCTTCCTTCTTCTCTCTCTTTCCAGTTTCTAAAGGGCAATGTGGGTTGCATGAGCCAGTTTACACATTACAGCTTCCTCCTCTTCCTTTTATTCTTTTGGTCTTTTTGAGACAATGTTATACAGTTCTGGCTGTCCTGAACTTTGCTATATAGACCAGGTTGGCTGTGAACTCACAGATCCACCAACCCTGCCTTCCGATTGCTAGGATTAAAGCTGTGTGCCACCACACCTGATTGCCTTCTTCTCTTGTAGGATTCTACAGAAAACCCACCCTCTCAGTCTTGCCTACCTCTGCAGAAATCTCAGGAGGGAAGATGACCTTTCAGTGTGATTCCTCGATGGGATATGATAGGTTCATTTTGACTGAGGAAGGAGAACACAGTTTATCCAGGATAATACATGCACAGCATGTACCCAATAGGCAGTTCCAGGCCCTGTTCCCTGTGGGTCCTGTGACACTCAGCCAGAAATGGACGTACAGATGCTATGGCAATTACAAGATCAATCCATATGCGTGGTCAGAATCCAGTGATCCCTTGGAGCTCCTGGTGTCAGGTGAGGAAGCTCCATCATTGGCATAATAATTCTGAGTTCCCCTCGCCATACATTTGCATTAGTCTTTACTTTCAGGGGAACTAAACTGGGATGTGGTTAAGAGACACTTGGGGTCCTTGAGCCAGCTAGGGACCAAATTTGAGAGGCAGTGCCACCCTCAGGAAAGGATACTAAGTGCCCAAGTTTCCCTTGTGCTCCTTTCCTGCCCATCTTCTTTCTAATGATGTCTAGGAAGCCCTCCCTGCTAGTCCATCAGGATCTGTACCCTGGAAAGAAGCCAACCCCACAGAGTCCCCCTGTCACCAGCCGTACTCTGTTTAAGGCATGGGAACACGACTTTCCTCAGTGTCCTGTGAATGATTTCTTTAGGGGTCGGTATGGGTGCTGTGGTACACATCTCTTCTTGGAGTGGTCACACCCCATTGAACCTCTGCTTACTCTAAGCACAGTGAGAAACCTGGAAAACTCAGTCAAGGACTCAGATTCAAAACAGGCTCTGCTTGGGGAACCAAGGAGGTGATTGCTAAGTTTGAACAGTGAGGGTGTTAGGGAGGGAAGAAGATGAAAACAGGCAATTGCTGGGAGGAACTGAGTTTGGGAAAATAGAGAGACCTAGGTTATTGGAGACTGGCCCTGGTGAGGTCTCTCCTATCCTCCTCTTTATGGCACCTCCTTATTTTTTTTTCCTTCCCATGCAGCCAGGATCTAATGTATCATTACAAGAGACTGATCTCATCCCATTTGTCTTAGAGCCCTGTGGACACTTTCTGTCTTTCCAATGTTGGGACAATCAGTCTCTTCTTGTGTCTAAGACCCAAAATCCCAGCTCAGCATTATGAGGCAGAATTCTTTAGGATCACTGTGACTTCAACTTTCTGTGTAACATACAGGAACTGGATCTGTGTTTAATTTAACTTCACCTTGGGAGGTGACAGGTGAGAAAGCTGTTTCCCTCCTGCCACTGTTGACCCCATCTATACAAAAGGAACTGCTTGGACATGGTCTCCAAAGACCCTTCATTTCTGAGCTTTTGAGCACCTGGGGTTTCATTATAGACCTGTTCCAACCTAAACCCTCTCTGCTTCTGTACATATCAAAGAAACAGAAGCTAGAGAAAGCTTTATTGGTTAAGAGGGTGTACTGCTCTTGCAGAGGACGATAGTTTGGTTTCCAGCATCCAGTTATAACAGCTCACAACAGCCTGTGACTCCAGTTTCAGGATCTAACTCCCTCTTCTTGCACTGTAGGTAACTGCACATGCACGCATACACACACCATTTTTGTTTGTTTGTTTGTTTGTTTTGTTTGTATTTTAAGACAGGGTCGCTCTATGTAGCTCTGGCTGGCCTGGAATTTTCTATATAGACCAGGCTGGCCTCTAACTCACAGAAATATGCATACTTCTGGTACCCAGAATGTGTCACAACACCCAGCTTCAATATAGACATAACTTAAAAAGTTAATCTTTTATAAAAAGATAAAAAAACAGAACATGTGGAGCTGGATCATGGGATTTTCTTCATCAGTCTTAAGTCTCAGATAAGGAGACACAAAAATAGTATGGGGATAGTAAATGTTTGTGAAAACCTGCTCATTTAGAAGCCTTCCTCTTTCACTGGTCATAAAAACCATTCAGATTTTTCTTCCCTAAGAGTCACCAGTGTACTGTATGACACACTGGCACCAACCAGTTCTGAATTATGGTTTGGAAGAGAAGGAGGGATAATAACCACGTTAGCAGGGTGTGATGTCAGAGAGCACACAGGTACCTGGGTGCGTATGGGTCAGGACACAGGAGCACTCTATTAGCAGCTCTTCTACCCAGCTATCAAGAGTGAGGGTGCAGTCCCTCCTCATGTCTGGAGTGTTCTCCTGGGTCCCTTCAGATCAGGAGATATGGCTGCTCAGGTCAACAGTGGTCACAGTGAGGTCTTGTTGTGGGTGAGGCTGAGGTACCCAGAAGACATCTCCTTTTGAGAGAGGCATCCCATGCTATAAGTACCGGTCTCATGGCCCTTTCTGAACTCACCTGGCCTCCATACCCAGTGCACAACTGAGATGTGGGAGGGGTTGTATAGCTGCTCACCAGGGTGGCTAAAGGGATCACTGCCTGACATTTTTTTTGTATGCAAAAGCCAATTTATTTCTATTTTACATTTTCTGTTTATTCTTGTGTACATTGGTTCCTTTAGTTTTTGAGCCTTTAAAAGTGATTTAATTTTTTTATATGTATGGGAATAACCTGCATGTAGTCTGTGCACTCTGTATGTGCTTCTCCCTCAGAGGCCAGGAGAGGGCATAATATCCCCTTGACAATGAAGTTACAGGTGGCTGTGAACTGTAAATCTGCACCACATACAGTGCCCACACAGGTCAACCCTGAGATAGCCAGTAGTTACAGCCAGTCATGACTATAATACAGCTATCATATGGGTGTTGGGATCAAACTGGGTCCTCTGGAAGAGCAGCCAGTGCACTTACCTACTGAACCATCTCTCTAGCCACAAGAATTTCTCTTTTATAAACATGGCTCAGCATGGGGACCTGAGTTAGGATCTCCCGTGTCAGTGTAAAAGGTGTAGCACAGCTGTAACCCGAGATCTAGGGAGGCAGAAGAGGAGGCTCCCTTGGGCTTGCTTGCTTACTCGAGATGAATCAGTAAACTCAAATTCAGTTAGAGACCCTGCTCCTTCCCCAAATATGGTAGAGAGCAACTGAAGAAGACATGCAATCACTAGATGCATATACATGCACACACATACATACACAAACTCACACAAAAATTTTTTTCTATAATAAATTTATACATGCCATTTAATCTTACCCAAACAAGATTGGTCTCATTTCTTCTTAGAATAAAAAATACATACCTTAAGCTGACTTACCCAGGAACTTATTTATTAAAAGTTTCAAAACTAGTGGCTGGATAAAAGGCCTAGTGGTTAAGAGCACTGGTTGTTCTTCCAGAGGACTCAGATTCAATTTTCGTACTTATGCAGTGTGCAAAGACACCAGAAGGAAGCATCAGATACCCTAGAACTGGAGTTACAGACAGTTGTAAGCCTGTTGCAAAGACAGTAAATGATCTTAAGCACTAAGCCATTGCTCCAGGCCCGAGTTTACATTTCTGTCTGTAGAAGCATGGTGTATTTCCCATCGGTGTTACCAGCACTTAGAATTTGCATATGCCTGTGTGTGTATCTATGTCTCTCTCTGTATGGTGCACTGTGATTATGACTTTATGAGGCTCAGTTAATTGAGTGGTTCAAAGAATTATGAAGTTCCAGGGTATCTGCATTTCCTGTTTTGTATGGATGTTGTCCTAGAGGCACTGAGGACTGGTCCTTGACTCATAGCCTCTGAGTGTTTGACTGGTGAATCAGTGGTAACTTACCTCTGTGGAAATTAGTTTGCATGTTCCTGTGAGAACTTAGAGTTTAGAGCAGTGAGCTAAGAGGGTGCTACTGCTTCTGAATTTCGAGACCACTTCTCATGAACTCTGAGCTCACAAAGGATAGCAGGGCTGAATTATCAGGAGGAAACTGGATATATCAGGGAGAGTGCTCATTAAGAATCTATCTTAATTAACAAAAATAAGATATAAGAATGTGTTCATCAGGATGAACATCCTCCTGCTCTTCTGTATTTCCTGGGAACAGCTCAGTCTATAAGAGAAGAAGTCTGATACTAAAACTCCCAACCAAGGAGAATCCTTTGAGATGAAGATAGATAGTTACAGAGGGTACAGACTTATCCATAGAAAGCATGTACCCTGTGTGGACATTCAAGTTGGCTCTGACCTCTGTGATTTCTTTGTCCAATTCTCAGACTCACATTCCCAGGACCACAGTGTGGAGAATATCGTTCGAATCACTTTGGCTGCTTTGGTTCTGGTGATTCTTGGAATTCTGCTGATTCATGCTTACCGTATGCAGAGAAGGACATCAGAGCATAATGGTTATATTTAGGCAAGAAAGAGGACTCACGCAATGGAAGATAGTTGAATGACAGGAAGAATACAAGCAATGCACAATGATACAAATACACAAAACTATTATGTTGAAACCTGTTCTCTTGTACAGTTAATAAATTAGCAAAATAAATACATTTAAAATAGAACTACCTAAAGATTCTGTACTTCCCTGTTTAGGTTCATATGTGAGTGTATTGATCTCAAGATCTCAAGCATGCTCATGTTTGTGAAAATAATATCCACAACCACCGAGGAACGGCAACAACCTAAATAGATGCCAGCACATAAACTTACTAATGGATAAAAAAAAAAAAATGGAGTGTATACCAACTCAAGACCCATTGCCAGCAATGCAGGGGGTCAAAAGGGCAGACACCTTTCTTCATGTCTTCTTGAGTTGGCAGTTAATAGCAAAAAGCCCATGAGCCTTTAAGCAGGACATTTGATCTGACTCATTGATTTGTAACTGAACCACATTTAGTAGGTGAAAATACAAAATTAAACACAGCCAGGAAATCAAAGCATAAACATAAGCTTATTATGCATAGCAGATAACTGAGAGCAGAGGAAGTGTAGAAGAAAGGAGGCATGGGGATTTTATCTAGGGAGTCCATACATACTCATGTCAGAAAGAGCTTTAGGGATGTAAGGTACAATAAAGGAAGACTGTAGATATATTTTGGGCATTCCAGCAAGATTGTGGAATGGAGCACATGGCCCAAAATCTATATAGCCAGTAAAAGCTTTTTTGGCATATTCAGCTTGCAGCATAACAGTAATGGAAGAGAGCTTTCATGTGGGTATGCTCAGTGTGTGTCACTAAGATGGTCTCTGTCATGAAGAGAAATGCCTTCAAGCATGCACGGCTTGTAGCATAAATACAGCAGACAGGAACACAATGATGTCATGGAAGAGTGACAGGGAAGCTTTGGGCATGCTCAGCATTCTGCAGAATATTTAGCTGAATAAAGGAAAGGATACTCCGAAGGTATGTTAATACAGCGACTTGTTTGCAATACTGCCAGATTTGCTCATTGGCTAACAACAGCATAAGACATCCTCTTTGCATTAATTGAATACTATATTGTATGGTTAATGGAAGTGTTTGGTATAATCAGAGACCTGCAGTCAGGCTTGGTGGTGCATACCTAGTACCAGATTGCTCAGGACATTGAAGCCAAAGTCTTTTGAGGCTATGAATTCAAACCCAGCATGAATACCAAAGTGAAACCCTATTTCAAAGAGTATTTTTGCTAAGAGAGTAGATAGTAACATCATATTTTTACCAAATCAGTAGCAACAGAAAGTGAAGGCAGTAGGAGGAAACACAGGTGACAAATATGTTTACGGTATAGGTTATATTGGTAATTTAGAAGAAGAAATGTATATGTTTAATATTATCAAGTCATTGATGCTATAAATGTATAGAGAGATTTTTCTCTTTACTTGTTTTGAATTATTTTTGATTGTGTGAGTGTGTGTGCATGTGAGTATGCGCACATCAGTGCAGGTACCCTTGAAGGCCAAGGGTGTTGGTTGTCTCTGGAGCTGGAGTTACAAGCAGTTTTGGACAGGTGCTGGGAATCGTACTCAGGTCTTCTGAAAGAGTGGCCAGTGCTCTATCCCCCATAGAGCTTTTCTTGGAAGTCCCAAATTGTGTTTTTTTTTCAAGATAATAATTCTGATTTTATTAATTCTTGTTAGTGATACACTACCAATTTATCCATTTATATGGATAATATATGTTGTATAATATTTGTTTATAATATCCAATATAATATAATATTATATAACACTTATAATATCCATTATACATTTAAGAGTCTTATACAAAAAAGTCAGTCTCTAGTTAAAACACTTATGTGGTCTTATTATAATTAGCCAGACACTAGAGTCAGAGTTGACCTCATAAAGCTTCAATACTTGCTCAAGAATATCAAAATTAGATAAAATAATTTTAATAATTTCACTCATATATTATACCCTGATGTATTACATCTCTTTTCTCCTCCAAGTCCTTTCCCTACCTCCGTCCCCATCCACTCCTCCTTCATTTCCCTTCAGAAAAGGGCAGGGCTCCCAGAGGCATATACCAACCAAACACGGCATGTCAAGTTGCAGTAAGACTAGGCATCTCCCCTCATATTAAGGCTGGATGAGGCAACCCGGTGGGAAGAAAAGGGTCCCAAAAGCACACATTAGAGCTAGAGACAGACAGCCCCCAATCCCACTCTTCAGAGTCCTACAAGAAGACAAAGTGACACAAGCATAACAATATGCAGAGGGCCTAGGTAAGACCCATGCAGGCCCTCTGATTGTCAGTTCAGTCAGTGGGCCCAAATTGTAGTTTTTAGAAATTTATTTTTCTTTTTACAGATTTAAAGTTCTCTTTTTGTTTTGTTTTGTATTTCTGACATGGGGTCTTTCTATATGTAGTATTGATTGGCCCGGAACTCACTGTGTAGACCAGGCTGACTTTGAACTCATAGAGATCCACCTGCCTTTGCCTCCCAAGTGCTGGGATTAAGGGCATGAACTATCATGCTTAGCTGAAATTTATTTTTAAATTTATAAAATCTTTAACACCTTAGTGAAGTTTTAAAAAAGTAAAATGTCTAATATACCTCAAGAAAAATATAATAGTAATTTAAGGGAAATTGACATTTAAGGAAAATATTCTGTTTAATGTTATAGACTTACATTTTATTTTTTAACACAGACATGGGAATTAAAAGTGAAGGGAAACTTAGTTGAGTCCAATAATGTATTTAAAAGTATACTATGTTAAGTAGGATTTATCTAATTAAAAATATTTTTAAATTAGAAAATCTGTACATGTGGCTTAATACATTAAAAGAATAAAAACACAATTATCTTGGGAAGTAGAAACAAAGCTTCTGATTAAAATTTAATATATTTGTAATTCCAGGGATCATTCATGGAGATACAAATGTACAGATGTAGTCCATGGCAGCTCACTGTTCCCCTCACTAGTAAGGGGAAGAGGGACTGTCTCTGACATGAACTCAGTGGCTGGATCTTTGATCACCTCTGCCTGAGGGGGGAGCAGCATTACCAGGCCACAGAGGAAGACTATGAAACACAGTCCTGAGACAGGATAGGCTAGGGTCAGATGGAAGGAGAGGAGGCCCTCCGCTATCAGTGGACTGGTAGAGGGGAATGGGAGGAGAAGAGGGAGGGAGGGAGGGCAGGATTGAAAGGGTAGGAGGGAGGGGGCTACAGCTGGGGTACAAAGTGAATAAATTGTAATAAATAAAAATTTAATTAAAATATGTTTGTAATTTATAGGTATTGAAAATAAAAAAGAAGTATGCTTCCTCAGTATGACAAAGACTATATGTGAAAAATTGTATTTTATTACAATTTATTAATTCACTTTTTTCTGACAGCGGTGACAGAATTCATTACGAAAAGCAGTTTGTGAAAGTTCAGGTATTGGCCATGATCTTCTCCAGCAGTCTTTCTTCATGTCCTCTACCTGCAGCTGAAGAGCTGGGTTACAAACTACAGTCCAAGTTATACATGGTTACTGTGTACATTCTTGATCAATTACCTTAAATGACAAAGGGTGTGATTTCTACCCAATGTTTTTCATTAATTAATTAATTAATTAACTTTACGTCCTGATCACAGCTTCCCTCCCTCTCCTCTCCCCTCCTCCCATTCCTTCTCCCTTTCTCTTTAGAGAAGGGGAGGCTTCACATGGCTATCAACCTGCGTTGGCATATCAAGTTGCAATAAGACTAGGTATATCTTCTCCTATTGATGCTAGACAAGGCAGCCCAGTTAGGGAAAAAGGATACCACAGTAGGCAACACAGTCAGAGACAGCCCCTGCTCCAGTTGTTAGGGATCCCACACGAAGACCAAGCTGCACATCTCTTACATATGTGTAGGAGGCCTAGGCACCTTCCATGCATGTTCTTTGGTCGGTGTTGAACCCAAATCTTACATAGACCATCCTATGATGAATATAAGTTTTGTGATGTCCTTCCACAGGTGTCACCAGCCTTACCTAGCTATGAGAAGGGGAACATTTTTTGAGAGCCAGAGCTGAGTGGAGTAGAGAAATAATCACCTGTGAGTAATCCTGGGAAGGGATTCCAATCCTCTGCATGGGGAACCCAAACCTTCTGGTGGTCCTCTTGTACTAGTTAGGCAGGATTGAAGATCTTCAGAAGGAAGTCTCTTGGTTGCCTAGCAATTGGTACCACTCCTTATCATGAATGAGAATGTTGGGAGGGTGGTCCTCCATTTTGCAATTGCAATGACAGAAGTCTTAGGAGTTGAGAAAAAGGTGTCTTTGGTCAGAGGTGAGTGCCACTGTTCTTTCCACATGTGGGGAATGTAAGGTTAAGTGTACCTCATCTGGGACTTGCTTCATTCTTCTGATCAGTTTTTGTCCGGGATCCAGAAGGCAAGTTCCTTTTATTCCCTGAAACCAAGTGACACTTATTCTGAGCAAAAACACTGTTCTCTGAACAGCTAACAACCATTCATCCAGACCAAAGGCCACAAACATCTTAACAAAGTTGTTTCTTCATAAGTCAGCCCCACTCCCTTGCAGCTATCATGGAACATGGATAGCCAAGGGATGCTGTGTCCCCTTACCGAAAGGTACTAGAGGAAGAAGGATGCTCCCAACACTTATCTGCCAAACTTTGTTCTTTGTACTAGACTCTTCTCAGTATAAGCATCTTATTCTGGCTATAAGGTCCCCCACGTCTATTTTTAAGGCACACCAACTCCTCTAAGGCTCTCTGCTTATTATGAGTTAATTATTTTTACCATTCAAAAGAAAGGTCTGCATTAAGGAGCTCTCCTTCCTAGCCATTTAGCCCTTAGGTGCTGAGATGGTGGGCTGAACGAACAGATCAGTTCATATTTACAGTTCTGGTTATCGGGGTCACACTTAATCATAACTTTCACCCCCACTTGCTTTTTGGATGTTTCAAAAGCTTCTACATCTTTCTCTAGAGGGAATCTATGGGTAATTAAGGGCTTCATGTTCAAAGTCTTTGAGGCAAGCATGGAAATTGCTATTGACTACGTGCTGCAGTTTTAAAACATGCCCTGATATCCGTCTCTCACACAGCT